TATATATATATATATTATGTCATTTTTCTGCAGTTGCATATTGAGTAACAAGAGCTTTTACTATATTGCATTCTAGATTAATCAAGCTTCATCTGTTTGTATCTCATTTGTATGTGAAGTAGTGGTTCCCTTTTTCTGGATTAAGCATGCTGCTACTTTTGTGATTAGCTTCAAGTATAATTACTTGTCAAAGCTAAACATATTCGTCAATTAACAGTTTAGTCATTCTGTTCTTGCTTAGTTAAATATGTGTCTTAAGCTGGTGGATTTGAGATAGGAATGAGCTTGAATGGTTTAGTTCTAGTATTTCCTTGATTTGTTTGGATAAGTAAATCATCTCTTGGGTATTGTTGAACTTCATTACTCAAATCGAATACAAAAAATTATTATGCTTATATAGCACAGTGTGTTTTTGGAAAGTGGAGAATTAACTTGTTGGAATGATATTCAACAGTTGTAACTTTTGTGGTTATTCTGATCTCTCCATGCTTTTTGTGACTCAATTTGTATTTATTATCAACATGTAGAACACTAGAGAGACAGCGCATGCCCTTAGGAAGATGCCTTTGGACAAGGCAAAGAGATACTTGGAGGATGTTCTTGCCCACAAACAGGCTATTCCCTTCACACGATTTTGTCGTGGGGTTGGTCGTACTGCTCAGGTAAAGAATCGCCACTCAAATGGGCAAGGACGTTGGCCTGTCAAATCTGCAGGGTTTATTCTTGATTTACTCAAGAATGCTGAGAGTAATGCTGAGGTATGTTTGGATTTGTAGGATTATTTACTTTTGTGTAGATTCCTCTACTTCCTCCTATCTCTAAGAGATGAGTTGATTGTTGCTTTCACCTCATTTTAGGTCAAAGGCTTGGACGTGGATTCACTTTACATAACTCACATCCAAGTAAACCAAGCGCAGAAACAGAGGCGCCGCACATACCGTGCCCATGGAAGAATCAATCGTGAGTGCCCATATTTTCTAAATGGTTCTTGTAGCTGATGATATGCTATTATGATTCTAACCTCTTGGCCTTTCTGTAGCCTACATGTCGAATCCGTGCCACATCGAGTTGACATTGTCTGAGAAGGAAGAATCTGTCAGGAAGGAGGTATTAGTTTTATGCTCTGCCTCATTGTTCTTTCCCATAGTTGATTCTCATAACTTGAATACATGGTTTATACTTTATTTCAGTTGACTTTGCTTTCCATTAGTCTATCTTTAATCTGATTGTTTCTGCCATCATGTTGTCCTTGGAAAGTGTTGTATCTTTCACAACCTAAATCTTTTTGTAAGTATGCCTAAATATTTTCTATTCATGCAGCCCGAGACTCAATTGGCTCCCAGTAAGACAAAGGCATCCTCTTGAGTGGAGGAATGAATCTCTGATTTTTCTAAGTATAATTTCAATGTCCCTATAGCCTTAGTATCAGGAGAATTTTGTGGTGTTTGAAGTATTTTTCCATAGGAATGTGTTTTTTTGTAATTTTTCTATTTCGGATTTTGAAGGTTGTCATTTTGAGGCATGTTTTCCTAGAAATTTTGGAGTTCTATCTTGCAATTTCAAAGATTGAATTGGGAATGTTTATGTTTTGACGGCTACATAAATATTTTAATTGCTTTTCTTCTAATTGTTATCGGTGTTAAATTTAATTTGTCGCTTGAAACGGAAGTAGATTCTGGACTGTTTGTTCATTTAGGGGGTCAAAAAATAAATTCTATAAAGGTTTCTTTACTTTAACGGGTTAAAAAATCAGAAGTAGAGAAGATGAAACTTGAAAATTGTAGAAAATCTTCAATTCCAGCTTTAGCACTCGTGGAAAAATGTATACTATTACAAAATTAAGTTTGAGAAAGATGAATATTGGCTAATGAATGGAGATTTTTACAAGGCAATTTTGGCTGTTTTGAAAGAAATTATGAAAAATAGTTGTAATATTTCAAGGAAAGCAAAGTGAGACAATTGACACCGCGAGAGCCGGAAAATTAATAGTGGTAGCCGGTGGGATAAAAAAATTCTTCAAATTCAAAAGAATCTAGCACAACAAAGCCAAATTTATGTTCTATGTTAAGCTGTACTGAAGTACCAACAAGCTTAATATCATATGGAGCTACAAAAACTCGTAGATAAGTCTCAATCCCAAATTAGCACGGATCAACTATATTAATCCTTAATATCATATGGAGCTACAAAAACTCGTAGATAAGTCTCAATCCCAAATTAGCACGGATCAACTATATTAATCCTTAATTCATGTTCTAGGTTAAGCTGTACTGTAGTACCAACAAGCTTAATATCATATGGAGCTACAAATACTTGCAGATACGTCTCAATCCCAAACTAGCAGGGATCAACTATATTAATCTTTAATTCATGCTCTAGGTTAAGTTGTACTGAAGTATAACAACAACAAACCAATAGTTCCCACAAGCAGGGTCTAGAGAGGATAAGATGTATGCAGCCTTACCCCTACCTACTCTTGGAAGGGCAGAGAGACTGTTTCCGAAAGACCCTCGGCTAGAGAACGACTGAAAAAGAAAAGGTAATTGCAACAAGTAGGAATAACAACAAGATGAAATAAAATCGAATCCAAGAATGCAGTCAAACTCTAGGTAGTAATAGCCATCTATGGAGAAAAGTTTTCATATTAACACTAACATTAGCGAACTGAGTAAGACAAAGAGAAACGCTCGACTACCTACGAACCTTGTACCCTAATCTTTGACCTTCACACCCTCTTGTCTAGGGCCATGTCCTCAGTCAACTCCAGTTGCGCCATGTCCCGTCTAATAACCTCTCCCCAAGACTTCTTAGGCCTACCTCTACCCCTCCTGCTACCCACCGAGGCTAACCGCTCGTATCTTTTAACTAGAGCTTCTATACTTCTCCTCTTAACATGCCTGAACCATCTCAACCTCGCCTCCCGCATCTTATCCTCCACAGGGGCCACTCCTATCTTTTCCCGAATAACTTCAATCATAACCTTTTCCAACCGGGTATGCCCTCACACCCACCTCAACATCTTCATCTCAGCTACTTTTAGCTTCTGGGATGAGAGTTTTTGACCGACCAATACTGTGCTCCATACAACATAGTCGGTTCCACTACACCCTTGTAGAACTTACCTTTAAGTCCCAGCGACACATTATTATTACACAAAACACCAGAAATGAGCCTCCACTTCATCCATCCCGCTCTGATACGATGTGTGACATCTTTATCAATCTCCCCGTCATCTTGTATTATAGATCCAAGATACTTGAAACTACCTCTCTTGGGGATGACTTGCGTTTGGGATCAATATCAGCAATGCAGTTCATCCAACGATAAACTTAATCCGAATTATAGAGCT